CACTTCTCTATTTTCCATTTCGATTAAACAGCACCCCTGTCTGCCTAGACATTTCTTTCCCCCTCACACTCTAATTTCCTACCAGTTCCAGAATCCATCTGTTCTTTATTCTCATTGCCTTAGCTGGGGCTTGGTGTTACTTATCCGTTGCTGTGTAAGAAATAACCCCAAAATGTTAGCAGTATAAAACAACAGATAGTAACTACTCACCAATTCTGTGGCCAAGAATCCAGGCCCAGCTTAGTGGGCTCCAGATTTCTCACAGGCTGCAGTCAAGGTGGTGGTTGGGAGGAGAACTGGCTCCAGGCTCCAGTGGGGAAGGATGTGCTTTCAATGTCATTGACACGGCTGTTGTTGGCCTGCCTCAGAAGCTCTGCTTCCCAGTTCACTCAAGTGGCTGCACACCAGCTTCTGGTCCCCACTGGCTTTGACCACAGACATCAGTGATTTGCCATCTGGGCCCCTCCATAGGATAGTTCACCACATGGCAACTGGCTTCAGAAGTCACAGTCTTTCTATAATCTGATCATGGAAGCAGTATCCATCATCTTGGCTGTACTGTCATAATTTGTCACACTAGGGCCAGCCTGCAACCAAGGGGAGGGATTTCACAGGGCCTGAGTATCAGGAGGTGGGCAGCATCATCCACCAGAGGGCCATTGTCCTTTGTCTGGACTCTCCCTTGTGAACGAGCATCCTAACTCCTCTCCAGGCCTCTAGGGTCTCCTGCGCTAGATCATCCTCCCCACTGAGACCTGGGTGACATTCCCACAAAAGCCATCTGATTCTGCCATCTCACTTCTAAAGAACCGCTGTTGGCAACCTGTGCTGCCATAGGACAGAGTCCAAACTCCTTGACCAGCCGTTTGGGGCCCTCCATGATCTGTTCTTGACTTCTTAGCTCCGTAGCCTCATTCCTTACCACCACACACATCCTGACAAAAATACCCGATTTCCCATGGCTCCCAGGTTCCAGGAAATGAGCCAGGTTCCTTTTGACTCTTTCACAATTTCAGGTGATTCAGAAGAGCATGTGGGCCTCTCACTGCCCACTCTTGTTTTCTGCCGCTCGTCCTCCTCAGCGCAGCCTCAGAGGCGCCTCCTCTGACACGCCCGCCCTGACTCTCCCTGTCTTTGTGGTGCCCAAGCCCTTTGGCTGTAGCTTTACTTGAGGAACTTGAACAGTGACAGGCACATACGATGGGCACTTGATGAAGGTTTGTCATTTTCTTCAATGAAATCAAATAATGCTAGAGCTGTAAGCACTTTTAAAAAGAAAAAAAAGGAAAGAAAAGAGCATATAGCACTGAAGTTCAAATGAGGAAAGACTCGAAGGGCCTGAGAAGGGAAAGGAGAGGCCTTGTCCAAGGCCAAGCAGAGCTGGAATAACCAACTTGCTTAGCCAGACCTGCTCACTTCGACTCGAGGGCATTTCTACTTCTCCCAAGTACCTTCACTGTTTCAGGCTCCCTGCTGCCACCCAAAAACTCCAGTTCTCTGAAGATGTTTAATAATAACTGCAGGTAATGTTTCTCCATCCGTCTTTGGGTCCACATACGTCTTAGGGCCTCCTCCAGCTTGTGTGAGCATGAACTTTCTTTATAGGAAGAGAGTTAGAATCACATCCTAATCTTGAGTAATTAAATTTGAGGCAGTTGCATGCTTTCAGTTTTTTAGTGGCAGGGCTGACTTGGTGGCAGTTTATGGGTTCCTAGGACCACACTGGGGCTTCCCTGGTGGCTCAGGCGGTGAAGAATCCTCCTGCATTGTGGGAGAGCTAGGTTTGATCCCCGGGTTGAGAACATCCCTTGGAGGAAGGCATGGCAACCCACTCCAGCATTCCTGACTGCTGAATCCCCACGGACAGAGGAGTCTGGCAGGCTACAGTCCATAGCGTTGCAAAGAGTCAGACACAACTGAGTGACTAAACACAGCACAGCACAGGACCACGGTGGTCTTCCCTGGTGGCTCAGATGGTGAAATAATCTGCCTGAAATGAGGGAGACCTGGGTTCCATCCCTGGGTCAGGAAGATCCCCTGGAGAAGGGAATGGCAACCCACTCCAGTGCTATTGCCTAGAGAACCCCATGGACAGAGGAGACTGGTGGGCTACAGTCCATGTGGTTGCAAAGAGTTGGACATGATTTAGTAACTAAACAACAACAAAGGACCGCACCTGGGCCTCTTCCAGTGTTCCATTCTTCTCCATTTGCATGGGTTCACTCAACACTCTCCTGGCTGGGTATGTGGATTTCCATGTCCAGAGATACCAATGCCAGGATATGCACAAGGAGAAATACACATACTGGCCACAGAAGGTTCTCGGTTCCTTCTTCCTTTTCGACTGAATAAATCCTTAACATACCAGAAAGAGCAGTCCCAGAGATAACAGGGACTTCCAGCATGTGCTGCCTGAGTAGCCACAGCAGCCAGGGCCAGTCCAGTGACAGTCCAGTCCCCGACATCAGCAAGAACGAGGCATCTGACAGGAGGTGCTGAACAGGAATACGGCAACAGCTCAAGAGGTGCTGATGGGGGGAGGGCCAGGGCAGGGCAGCTGGTTGTGTTTTAAAATCCTAAAGATATGTCTGGGTCCTTGCTAGAGATTGTGTACTTTCAGTCGACAGTGGAGAGAACTGAGACTCAAACTACAAATCCAACCAGTTAAGTCTTCCAGAGCGTGGTTGTTCTAATCAGACAGACTTCAGAGCTCAGCTCCTTTCCAGATTCCTACATTAGTAAAACTTTCCTCAGAAAAGTTGTGCTCACTTCTCTGAGACTCAAGTAACTCATCTGTAAAATGGAGATAAAGCAGTACTTATGTTATAGTATAAAGTTTAACTAGGATAATGCGTGTAAAGGGCTTATCATTAAATACATGGAAAATCTGACCTTTATATTATATTATATATATAATTATATATTGTATATATTATATATAATTATATATTATATACATTATACATATAATATATTATTTTTATATATAATTATATATATAGTATATATAATTATATTATATTATATTATAGACCTAAGACCCAAAATGCCCACATTCCAAATGAATATTAGACCATATAGCCTCTAATATATCAACTCATGGAGCTTCTCAAGCCAGCTACTCCACTTATTAGCTGTGTGGCCTCGGGCATGTTTCTTAACCTCTCTGAACTTCAAATTTCCTTATCTGTAAAATGGGGATAATAATGGCATTGAATTTAGAGTTGTAAAAAGATTCAGTAAAGAACTTAGCACAGTGTCTGATATATACCACGAGGATTATTCTATACATAGCCTTTCTACAAGCTTCATCAAACCTGGGTTTATTCTACTGCTGCACAGGCTTTATTATCAGGCAGATGTTAAATTTATTTCTTTTGTTGTTGTTGTTTGGGTTCTTTTTGGCCATGCCATGTGGCATGTGGGATCTTAGTTCCTCGACCAGGGATCAAACATGTGTCCTCTGCAGTGGAAGCATGGAGTCTTAACTACTGGACCATCTGGGAAGTCCCTTTCTGAGATGTTTAGAATGTAGATTCCAGGGCCCCAGAGCCTGGGATTTGATTCCAGCTCCAACACTTACTAGCTGTATAATCTTGGGTAGGAACTTTAACTAGAAGTCAAAGATTCATCTCAGAACCTTTGCTTATTAATACATTTCAACTGCACACTCTGGCTATAGAACATTCTTAGGTAGGTCGGAATGAAAATCCTAGCAGTGTGTTTATTTTCAGGAATGCCTTCTGTAATTGTGTAAGCTTTTTACAGTCCCTGTGCATGACTTTGACCTCCCTGTTCCTCAGTTTCCTCATCAGTAACATGCTGATTATAACAGCAGACACCTCAGAGTTGTGCTGTGGTCATCTACCCAAAATTTGGCCCCAATGTCAAGACTGATGCTGCTGAACACACACACAGAGGGTGTGAAAAAGGTTACTAATTACATAATGGGGTTTTTCTAAGGAGAGCAGGGCAGGGTTCCCAAGCTGGTCCAAACATGGCTTGGGAAAGCAGGGAAAGAAGGGGTTTTACCTCTGATTAGGGGGTTGGCAGAAGTGAAGGTTCCCACAGGTATACAGAGCCTTGTGTGATTTGAATCTCCTGCTGGGTACTAAAGGTTGGAACACCCAAGCTTTCTCATCAGCTTGCCCAGATTTGGGGATCAATGGCAAGGGGAGGAAGCTGAAAAGCTGTCAGGAAAGTGAAGGGTCGGACTAGATGTTCTCACAAGCTCCCCATGGGTCTAACGGTGTCTGAGAACCATGGTGGCTGGCCCACTCATAAAGTGATACTGCTACAGAATGAAGAATCATCTTTTTCAGCCCACTTTCTACCATATTCCAGATGGTTGTTACACCCCTTGCTATTTGTGCCTTTAAGACAGAGTTAAACTGACAGGGTGAAAAAATAAACCAAAAATAGAGACTGATAAGACTAATTCCAGCTTAAGTCCCAAAAGATCTACTATTGTTTCTCAACTATCAGAAAAATATGCTACATGTCACCCTGTCTGAAAGAACCCAATTTCACCATTTTTACAAAGCATTTTGTCTTTACTCTAAAGACATGTCCACTGAAAAAATAATTCGTCTGGAATGAAAAAGGATGGAAGAGATGGGAAAAGAAAGTCCTAGAGTAACAGAAAAATTTAAAAAGCCATCCCCAGAAATTAAACATCAACTGTCACCAGCATAAATGACTATTTCTCTCCAAAGAATGTTTCTATTGGTGAGCGAGCTAGCACTACCATGTATGGAGTGGGTACCAGTTTGCAGGACAAGACACAGAATGGCAGCAAGTCTTCTATGGACATTTCTCAGGGATAAATGAGGTTCAAAGACGATTTCCCAGGAGGTTAAAACATGTTCACTCACCCCAGTTCCTGATATCTCAACTCTCAGATGTCCGACCCCCAACTCAGCCACGCAGAACATTCTTGTCAACAGTAAGTTTCAATCAACTTTTGGTCACTTTCTTCAACTGCAGTTCATCCGGGGAGGATGAAAGGGCCTAGACTATGGAAGGGCACAGCTGACAAGGAGGTAAGCCACTCTCAAGAAGGCATCATTTGGGATCGTGCTTGCTAAAGAAATGATGACCATGTGGACTTTACTCAGGACCACTCTGCCTTCTTTGGATCTGAGATTGTCACAAGATGTCTCTGTGTCCTTGGGAGAAGAAGATGTATACTGTATAAGTTTTCCACATTTTTTCCTGAACCTCTCACTTGAGATATATGACTATATATCTACACATCTACAGAGCTGTGTATGGTGCCCTGGACCAGACACTCTACTCTTTCCACATGTTGAAGTGTGTCATGTGTCATGTGCCATGTGCCATATGCCATGGATCTCAGGGCCCCGTGCATGTGATACTTGAATCTCCTCTTCAGCGTCCTAGCCAAATGGATGGCCAGCTTGAATACCTCCAGGGATGAATGGATTGCTATCATGTGGGGCAACCTGTCCTCTTTGGAAAGCTCTTACTGTTCTATACTGCACCTTTCATCCACTCCTTGTTGGGCCTTACAGAGGTCACTCCCCATGTGTTCTGGGCAGCCCTGTGCACCAAGGCAGTTTATCTCCAGGCCACTCACTCTCCTCTCAACTTTTTCTCATTTGGAAGACTGAAGTGACTTAGCAGCAGCGGCAGCAGCAGCGGCAGCAGCAGTGGCAGCAGGTGTTCCTTAGAACTCTCGTCAGAAAATTTTGCAGAGCTCACTCACTTCCCCACTCAGAGAGCAAGTTTCACCCGACCAGAAGTCCACGGAAGTGCTTATTGCACTGTTGACTCACCTTCAACTTCACATTAATTAATTTAGCTACTCAGTCCAGCTTTCATTGTCAGGTCCTGCTTCTGTCATGCAACATAACCTTCCCAGCTGTTATTCTGTGGAGGTAGCTTTGCCCAACTATATATATATCATATGTAGAGGATACATATTTATCATAACATGTATCCATTTGTGGGCTTCTCTGGTGGTTCAGCAGTAAAGAATCTGTCTGCCAATGCAGGAGACATAGGAGACTTCGGTTGATCCTTGGTTTGGGAAGATCCCTTGGAGTAGGGCATGGCAACCCACTCCTTGCCTGGAGAATCCCATGGACAGAGGAGCCTGGCAGGCTACAGTCCATAGGGTCGCAAAGAGTTAGACATGACTGAAGCTACTGAGCACACATGCATGCACGTATATATTTATACATATACATACATACACACATATACATATTACACTGAGATTGCCACTTGGAATCAAAGAATTAAAGGAAGCTAATTCTGGAACTTCCCTGGTTGTCCAGTGGTTAAGACTCTGCTTTTCAATGCAGAGGGTGTGGGTTCAATCCCTGGTTTGGGAGCGAATATCCCAAATGATTCACAGCCAAAAAAACAAAACATAGGGGGAAGAAACCTATATCTGGCCCCTGGGTAAGAAGTATCTATTTATATCTTGATTTATCTTATTTTGACAATGAAATGAAGGAGACACTGACTTCTAATCAGATTCATCTTTTAAGTTTGTGTATGTGTGTAAGCTGCCTCTGGACCCACTCAATTCCTGGCATATCACCAGGACCCCATCCTTCCCACGCTGTGCTGTGCTTAGTCACTCAGTCGTGTCCAACTCTTTGTAACCCCGTGGACTGTAGCCCTCCAAGCTCCTCTGTCCATGGGATTCTCCAGGCAAGAATACTGGAGTGGGTTGTCATGCTCTCCTCCAGGGGATCTTCCCAACCCAGGGACTGAACTTAGGTCTCCCGCATTGCAAGTGGATTCTATACCACCTGAGCCACCAGGGAAACCCAAGAATACAGGAGTGGGTAGCCAATCCCTTCTCCCGGGGATCTTCCCCACCTAGGAGTTGAACAGGGATCTCCTGCATTGCAGGCAGATTCTCTACCAGCTGAGCTACCAGGGAAACCCCATCCTTCCCATATCCATACCAAACTCTCCACCTGCATTGAAGTCAAGGGACCACCACACTGGACTCTTAGGCCCCAGACCCAAGGATTTCATTTCGAATGCTCGCCCAGAGGAATCGTGTTGGAGAAGTGACAGCGAGAGTGAGGGCTGCACAGATTCTCATGGAAGTTCTCTTCAGGAAGGATTCTAGAAGGAAGGAAAGAATCAAATTCTTACACAGACCTCGACCCTAGAGAGCTACTAGAAAATAAGAGAAGAATAAGAATAATCTCGCCAGCTGTGTTGCCTCTAAGCCGCGACCCCCCACCTAGTTCAGAGCCACTGGCCTGTTTCATAACTCAGGGCCAGATTGAAATCATAACAGGCATGGCTGCATGTCACAGATTATGATTTTAAAATCTGGCAAGTCCATGAAATCCCAGAATCTGATCTTCAGAGGGGCCATTAAATGGAACAATCTACAATACTCTTGGTCCCAAATATTAGCAACAGCCTCCAGGCTCGAGTAAATAGGGAAACTACTTGCTAAAACCGTTGCTTCTCAGCACATCTTTTGAATCTAACAGTAGCTGCCAAATTCCAAGAGCCTCTACTCTTGTGATTCACTGACCATGTAATTGACCATGGAATTTATTCAGTCCTTTCTTTTACTTGTATCTCAACATATAGGAAAGAACGCTTCTTTAGCCGTGCCGAGATTAAATGTAACAGTTTGGCTTATATACTCTGAGCGATAAAGCATTTTTATTTACCAAAGTAGATAAATAAGACACACACATACATTCATAAGATTCTATGGAAGGGCCAGAGATGTCATATTCTAGTCGAAATGCCTCCTCTTATGCAGGAAGTGCAGTCCCAGCAAGGAAAGGGATTTCATCAAGGCCACACCAGGAGTTGGTGGTGGAATGTGCACGACAATTTAGGGCTTTTAACTGCCAGCTTAGAGTTCTTGCCTCCATACAGTGCTAAAAAGTAATTTAAAAATAAATATATTATATATCTTTGTTGATGACTGAAGGGAACTCTGCTAAGGAATACTGATACTTTATGCAGAGTAAGAAGCACCACTTTCTTTTTCCTTCCTTTCTTTGGGAAAAAAATAAACATTCTTCAGAATTCATTTTGAGATATATTTATTCACTCATGAAAATTAACTCCTAAAAATTCTAAAATGTATTTTAAAATTAAATATGTATGCATAGTGGGTGCTCAAGAAACACCACAATATGTATAGAAATATAATAGCATATATAACTCTGATCCTGAGTTCAAATGCTCACTATGCCCATAAGTACATTTGCATTTGACAGTGAATTCTAACTTTTGCTTCAAATCTGTGGTTATCATTTGCATACCTTTATATTACGATTAATATAATCCATACAACATGATAATGTTATCTAGTGGAAACTAAAAGAATTAAAACGCTTGGCCCAGATCTTCATCTTAGCAGAAGTGAGAAGTGGTGTTAAATTCTCTGGTTTTGTTTTCAACTTCTTTCTTTGCATGCTTTTTCTCAATTAAGGGTGTTTACTGACCCCAAATTGGCCCTGGATATCTACCTGTACTTTGGCAGAAAGAAATATAAATGACCAGGAAAAGCTTAGCAGACAGCTAGAAGTCCTTCTCATTAGAAGTAAGGAAACTAAAATAATTTTCCCTCATGTTGCTTGGAGAAGGAAATGGAAACCCACTCCAGTATTCTTGCCTGGAAAATCCCATGGACGGAGGAGCCTGGTGGGCTACAGTCCACGGGGTTTCAAAGAATTCAACCTGACTGAGTGACTAACACTCATGTTACTTAGTTTCTTAGCAGCCACCGAGTACAGTTGGATTCTGACTCCATAACTGCCCATTTTCTAGTTGGACTTTGTTATTACTGTCATTACTATTATTATTTAGCTGTTGAGTTTTGAGAGTTCTAGATAGTAGTCATTTGTCAGATACCTAGTTTGCAAATAGCTTCTCTTAGTCTGTAGCTTGTCATTTCATCTTCTAAACTGGGTCTTTCTCAAAGCAGAACTTATTGGTTTTGATGGGGTTCAATTTATCAATTTTTCCTTTTACAGGTTTTGCTTTAGTTATCAAGTCTAAAACTCTTCATCAAACCCTAGATTTGAAAGATTTTCTACTGTGCTTCTTCTAAAAGTTTTACAATTAAGCTTGTGATTCATTTGCATTAATGCCAGCATAATGTTGTGTGAGGCTAAGGGAGATTTAATTTTTTTGTCAGTGGATGTCCCATTACTTCAACATCATTTGTTGAAAATGGTGTTTGTTGAATTGCTTTTGTACCTTTGTCAAAAATAACTTAGGCTTATTTGTTTGAGTCCATTTCTGGATTCTCTATCTGCTCCATTGATCAATGTATCCATGCCTTTGCCAACACCACACTGGCATGATGACTGCAGCTTTTTTGAACTGGAAGTACAGCTGATTTACATTATTGTGTTAGTTTCAAGTGTGCAACATAGTAACTCAATATTTTTGCAAATTATATTCCATTATATGTTACTACAAGATAATAATTTCTCCCTTCCCCCTTCTTCTCCCCTTTGGTAATCTCAAGTTTGTTTTCTATATCTGTGAGTCTGTTTCTGTTTTGTATATAGATTCACTTGTATTATTTTTTAGATTCCACAAATAAGTGCTATCATATAGCTGAGGCCCTTGATTTGAGACTTTTCTAATATAGGCATTTAGTGCTATAAATCTCCCCCAGGACTACTTTCTTAGCAGCTTCCCACAAATTTTGATATGTTGTGTTTTCATATACATTCAATTCAAATTACTTCCTAATTTTACTTTTGAATTTTCCTTAACCCACAGCTCATTAAAAATATTATTTGGTGTTTAAATATTTAGAGAATTTCTGGAGATCTTTCCATCATTGATTTTTATTTTAATTTTTTAAAGTTTTAAAATTTTATTTATTTATGGTTGTGCTGGGTCTTTGTTGCTGTGCACAGGTTCTCTCTAGTTGTAGCAAGCAGGGGCTACACTCTAGTTGTGGCACATGGGCTTCTCATAGCATTGGCTTGTCTTGTTGTTGCTCATAGGCTCCAGAGGATGCAGGCTCAGTAGTTGTGGCTCTCGGACTTAGATGCCCTGAAGC